CCGCCCACTCGTTTGCAGTCGAAAGTTCAAGATAGTCCGAGTAATCACGCTCATCAGAGTGTCTCAACGACATTCTACTGATGGAGGGAACGGATGCCCTCGAAAAAAGAGAAGCACAAAAGACGGAAAGTAAAAAAGAAAAAAATGACAAGACGAAATAACAGGCCAGGGTGATATAATAACAATGTAGGTCTCCATCGCAACCTGGCAGCCGGAAATGGCACACCCGGAGTAAGAAAACCTCTCCATGTACATCAGGAGTAAATAGACGGAGAGCCATCTCTGCATTGGCGAGATGTCCTCTCACGTGGGTAAAAAAAAAACTCCTTCCTCCCTCGTTTTCAGCGCCAGCACGTCGCTTTCATTTACTTCTGCCTCGCGAATCTTTGGAATCTCTTTCGACCTCATTTTGATATCAGAAGTCCTCATCGAAAAAACTGTGAAGCAGAAGATGAACAAGGGCTCCTGAATTCAGCGAGTGGACCCAAGGGGAGAATAAAATAGAAATAAAATGAAGAAAAACTATGCAAAAAGTGAAAAGTAAAAAGGAAATGGAGGAAATAAAAAAAATGTGGACTGAAAAATTCCAGATGTTTTTGCACCTGAATTGAACTGATTTGATTTGAAATGAAATTGTCTTAAATATTAAGACGTCTTGATGAATTCAGACGCGTTTCAATGCCTGACAATTATCCATAAATGTTTTCAATTTAGACTCAAATTTTTTCAATGCGAAATCTAGTTGCAGACCCGCGTCAAGGTCACCCCAAAAGACAGCACTCCATCAATGGCTTCACAGAGGGCTCAAGAAAAATGAAAAATGGTTGAAGTAGCAGAAAGAAATCTTCGCGAACTCTTATTTTCATTCAGGCCTGGGGGATTTGAAAAAAGCGAGGAGTCCGTTGGGTGCACTATATACACTCATTCCCCGAATCCTCCGAGTCCTTTCCTGCGGCATAAATTCTCACTGGCGCGAGCGCACCACCACTTCGTTATGGCTCTATCCAATGAGCCTGAACTCTTCCAATCGATATCTCGAAACTCGGCAACCCGGCGAATATTCCCGGTGGTGGCCTTCACTGGTTTATTACAATTGGGTCCCGCAGTCAGTTGAAGAGACAAGATTGTTTTATTTTTTTCGAGATAAAAAATTTGTTTTCCGCCTGTTTTCAGTGGATTGGATCATTGTATCTGTCACAAATATTTCTCATTTTAAAAACCACGAAGATTGTACTCATCAGCGAGCAGAGCCTATAGAATGTCATGCAATTATCCACTCGTTCATTTGGCATTCTTGATTGACTTTGTTTTCACTCCCAAAACTTTTTAAAATTTCTTCATCGCTCATGCCCTCCTCGGGACATTTATAAAACAGCCGGAGCCTAGTGCGGCGTTGGGTCTTCTAGAAACAGGTTCATCACAGAGTCATAAAGTGACTTTATAAGGCCATAAGGACGCTAAGGTAATTACTTAAGAACTAATCATCCCAAACGCCCGTTTCTCCGACGGCTTCAAAAACGCGTCTCCACTATGTGGCCTCCATTTAGTTTCAGTTATTCTTTTTTTAAACTTCCTTTTGTCTGCATTATGTGCCCCGGCTCTTTTTCTTTATGAACGTGGAACACGGAACTGGAGAACTCGACATTCTCCAGAAAAAATTGACTCACCCTAAACAATTTCGAATTTCCATCTTTCCATTAGCAAAAAAAATCCCGTAATTTCAGGAAGATCGATTAGAAAGCAAACTATCCACCAAAGTATTTGTTCAACTTAAGAAAACAATACAAACATCGGAGTGCGCTATAAATTATATTGAGATAGAATTTTCAAGTCGAAAATATTCAGAGAGGTACTTGAATCATAAGTGCGCTGTTGGAAAAAAAAGAAATTTCACGGACAGTCGACTACTAATTTTTAGGATAATGACACTAAATGCAATTTAGGTGCAAAAAATTTTAACAGTGCAATAATCGGAATGTCGGTTAAATCAAGTAAAATTATGCCAGATTCAAGTTAAACTGTTCGAATATCAAAACTTTATTAACTTCAGAAATTCACACTGAAAACTAGAAGCTGTTTCTCATTAAAAAATCCACCGAGCCATCTCATTACCTTCACGACAAATCGTCAACCAAGAATTTCTTCAACAAGCTTCATTCAAAACAGTCCACAATATGATTCCCCGATAAAACCCAATTTTGTCTCTCCGAGAAAGTCCCTTCCAAAAAAATCAATTCAAAAAACCCCTTCTCCAAAAACCCCTTCAAACCCAAATGCAAAAATTGCCATGAGAAGTGCGTAATCACCGCGAAATGTTGAGCATTACTCACCCAAACCTAAAAACTCGAAGCAAAGACTGAAAACCCCCCAAAAAAGCTGGAAAAGAAAGAGTCCCGTAGTCGTGTGTACCTATAATAACAGTAATCCCTCCATTCGCCAGCAATTTGGCTGTTCGCCTCGAAAACTCCAAATTATAGAAGTTCGCTGTCATTAGCCGAAAGACTCCCCTTTCCAGGGGACAGCTTCCCCGAAGTCTTTCTTGTCCATTGCAGGAAAATCCATCACATGTCAAAACGAGTCCTCCCTCCGCATTTCCCCTCTCTCCCTCCCCCTCTCCACGCCCCTATCCCAACCGATTCCCCCGTACTTCATGGATTCACCTCTAATTACCCCCGCCAGACGAAAATCTGCATTCCGAAACAGTCATCGAGAGTGAACTTGACTCACGGATAACAGTGATTTTGTTAAACCCCCCCTTCGCCGATTTACTTTACGTTAAAATGGTAGGGCAGTGGGTTTAACAAGTGGTAAGAGTGAGCTAGACAAAACACTGGAAGACCGAAATCTTAGCTCGAGGCGTTTACTCTCCACCGCAGAAGAGAAAGAGAAGGTTAAAAGAGAAAAAATATACGTCCGGATGGAGGTGAAAACGTGAGACAGATAGAATGAAGCACAACTCGTTGAGAACCACCTCAGAATCCCGAATGCACTCGTTACCCTGCGGTGAACTTCTTGTTAAAGTATCAGTTGAGCTGAGGCTGCCACAGGAATTCTGAAGCTGGCCAAGAGAGTCTCACTGAACGTTTGGCATTCCTTACGCACCGAATTATCTCCATCAACACTTTTTACTGATTCCTCCTAATGAAATTATCAGGGAATGATGTCATTAAATTTCAGGTTCTACATCATTCCTGCGATGCCGCGGGCAAGTGCTACTTCAATTAAAAGCTGACAGCAACATTCTCCGAGAGTAAGTTTTCAGGTAATAATAAAGAATAAATATTCTGTCAGTCGTTTATAATACTGTAACTGTGCACTGCGATAATGTTCCCGAGACAGTGTTCAAGCGTTTTCTTTTCCATGCTGGTAACCTATAATTAACGAAAGTAGAGGTGACTCGTTCGTAACACTGATGAGTGGCCGTAGTTTTTAAAATTTCCCAGTTTCAGCAATACAGCAACAAATTCGCGGAACTCTCTGATCCCATTTGAATTGTTCAGTAGAGAAAATAATAGTGAGGCTAACTTTTTGCATTGCCCTGTATCATTATCGAAGTAACTTCAAATTGCCAAATGAATACAACAACCTGCAAGAAACCTAATGATTACTTTGTCTACATTTTCCTAAAGATTTTGATCCTCTTCCACTTTCAAATTCATTTATCACCCCCTAACAACATTTAACCCCAACAATTACACCGCTCGTTTGCACGAAAAGGTTTCCTATGTATACATACACTAAAGAAACTTGTGCACGCAAGAAAATTGTCGCAACCTAAAAGACCAAGAAAGACGTTTGCGAAAGGAGCGTTGAGACTGCTATATCAAATCTTATCAAAACGATTGCTTTCGAACGATCGCTTTAAAATTCCCCATGATCATCAATACGATATTACGAGCAAGATCACATGTTTGCATAATCCATGAATACACCTGAGGAGCATTTGGCGAAGGCAAAGCTACGAAAAGCGCGTCAGATGCGACGGGCAGCTCCTTTTTATCGTCATATACTTGCCGATATCCCTCAAGACAACTGGTTTCTGGTCATTCTCAATATCGGCATCATAAAGACAAACCCGGAGTACTCCTATTCAGCAGTCATTACCTCTACGATACAGCTAGCAACTACATATTACAGGAGTTTAAGTGTATTACTATCTGTCCGTTACGATTCCCCTATTATCGCTACTGGTAACGATTTACGACTTCTACGCACGAGCAGAACTTCTTTCATACAAGCCGGTCAATTTCCAAACGCATATTGCAGGTGAGATTTGTGGATTCGCTTAGTGGTAATTGATAGGCCAGCTCAATCCATTCAAGATTGGTAAGCTCTTCGATAGCAATTACCATTGAGGGTGCATAATCTCGATTAATCATCGTTTTTTGTTATTTTACGGTTATCGATGGACTCTGTTTTAGATCAGATGTTGATGGTTTAGACATTCAGCCATTGCGAGCGTTAACCTCAAGGTCATATATTTGGGCTTTTTCGCTATTAGTGATTCCTAAGGAAGATTCAAAGGATTCATTCATTGTTGATGAACCGATTTTGCAGGTGATTTCAAAGTCTATTTGTTGACAGCTGGATTATGAGCGACAAATCACGATTTCTTAACCAACAACGAATGCTGCAGTTGTCTTAGCGTTCTTCTGTCATCTCAATCACTTGTCACCTTGATTTGGTCCTGTTCGACTTTACGATGACCAAATTTTCAAACTCCTTGATGATTTCATACTAATTGATTCATTGAAAATCAACAACTTGATCCTGTTGAGTGTTTCAAAGTCATTTCCTCAACAGTCCGCATGCATTACATTGACGGCTAACTACCAAATTCATCGCAACAGCAAATTGGCAAACAATCAACGAATAGTGGATTTGCATCAACTTTTATCTGTCAACCCGATCATCCATTCACTATCAACAGATACTCCCCTCGTCATATTCAACTCCTCCACTTGTTACCAGTCAACAAACACAGAACAATATGGACTCACCTCTTCCCGTTTCTCCGTCTCCGTTTAGTCGCATACACAGTACCAAGTTGGCTCATGGCAACGGGATTATTGGGGCCCGTTGTTGCTGTTGGTCCAGTAGCTGACGTTGGTGTCATATTATCAATGACACCAGGGGGCTGAGGATGATTACCACCAGTTGTCAGGGTAATGGTCGAGCCAGGTGGATAGCAAGCCGCGGCAACATAATCCGTCGGCGTTAGTGAACCGGTAGGTGGCCCGCAGATTCCAACAACCCCCGGACCACCCCCGCCACCACCACCACCTACAACACCCCCGACCACCCCCAGCCCCGTAGCGCTTCTGTCCAGCGCGTACACCGTGTGTAGTGTAACACCTCTCCTCTCAATACCCTCTAATTCAATATTTACGTCATCATCTATGACCGTTGTTGATGACCGTCGGTACGTCTGCTGATTGTGCAGCGACGACGGTAGATCTAGTCTTGTACTTGGTGACAGTTTAATTGAGTTTCAGTACAACTTATCGAAGACAAATCTTGTTCCTCGAGTTGAAAAACAGTAAGTTGTCCTCAGCAATCAGAAGATGCCATGATCACTGATAATCACTGTAAACCGTCACCAATAATCCGCTGTCACACTTGTCACTGATATCACCAACTTGAAACAACCACTGACCAATGTCACTTGTTCACATTCAACATAAAGGTATCCAGAGTTTAGCACCCGCGATTCAGGGATATCAAGAGGGGGTTGGGCAATCAGTGAGCTATCTCCAGCCACAGTCCCAATGATTCACTCAATCACAAAACACTGATGACGAATTAACCAAGTTCACATTCACTGGCCAAGTGTCACATCACGTGTCTGCTGCAACTGATTCCCGATCACAGTATCACTCAATTTGGCTTGCACACTTCCCTCTCCTCGCGGCTCAGCGTTAACGTCAACGATTGGGGAGGGGGAGGGTAGTAACGGAATCCTCCCACAGTGTGACGAGTCCTCGTGGTTGATGCACTTGTTTGACGAGAAAAACCGGTAAATTAGACTAATTCGAGGGCGAACTTGTGACGACGGTGTTCGCCTCTTAGAAGCGTGTCGTGTACTGGTACCGGCTTGCCAGGCGGTGGTCGAGGGGACCCAAGCGGCATAGATCCCCGCTGATGACTTCACGGGGAACAACAACACACCGGTGGAATAGAAGGGATAGAGGTGGCAAATCGTGGGTTGTGGTGGTGGTGGAAGCGGACAGCTGGGTACAGGCACCGCAGTCACCTTTGGGTTGAAATTTTCCCCCTCTGTTGGTCACCGCTAGTGCGGCTCACTACCACCACTTTTCGGCTCGATTTCAACGTCAACTTTACCCCCACGCGGGGGCTCGCCACGCCCACAACTTCGGGAGAATGACCAATGGAGGAGGCAGCATGGCGCCACCAGCGTTTAACGCCGGCTCTGCTTCGATACACATCGGACTCTCTCACTCTATCCCAGATTCCAGCCTATTTCTCCGGTTTCACTTCACCACTGCATCCCTCGAACTGGATTTTCCCGCTTCGACGACAACTTTTTTTTTAACAATGTTTTTATTCAGATAAAATTTATTTACGATATTCAGATATCTAAAAACTAGTTAAAAAAATTAATGTAGAGCATTTAGATTTGAGATATAAACTTATGGCTGATTAGCAGCTCTTGAGTTGAAATTTTATTGAGAAAATTTTAATTCTCTATTCTAGCTGTTAGTAAAATATTCAGTGAAAAAAAAAATTTGTTTCTTTAGTTATGCGCATTGTCACATGCGATTGCTATTGCTTCGATGCATTTCTGGTAAAATTCGGAAAATGAATAAATTTGTTAAATTCGTTTGTTCCGAAGAAATGATTTTTATGGTGGAGAATTCATTGTTTAGAAATTATTTGTAGAAAATGCTCGTAATTAAAAAAAAAATGCAATTTTTAAAGTATTTCAATATCGAGATTCAAATTTACACCTGCAAAGTTTAACAATTAAAATGATTGTAAAATATCCAGAAACTTAGAGTCAAATGGAGCTTAAATGAAAGCTCTGATTTTCGACTACAAAAGTCGAAAAATATTTCACTGAATAAAAAATAGCCAAAATACTTGGACACCCTTAAGGAAAAATTACTGAGAATTCAATATTTGTCGATAATTTTCAAGTGAAATTTATCGAAATGCGTAAAAATTTAATCTGGAATCCAGAGATTTACACGGAAACTATAGAAACACAACTCTCTGCAAAAGAAGATATCGATGTAATATAAGTTCATTCTCCACTTGCCAAGCAATTCGTGCACAACACCGGTTTTCACCCGCTGGTGACAATCGACAGTTCCATCCTACTACGACACATTTTTATTATCTGAAGTCAATTCCGTGAGTGCCATCGACTTCCCTCCCAAACACGATACCAATAAAATGGTGGAGCACAGCCCAAGGCACCTATACACATACACTGACAGAAAAAAAAATTTATCAAGAGAATTTTATTCGAACCAACTATCATTGGGTTGTTAATTATCAAATAAACATGATTTCATAGTAAATTCCAGTCATCTCTTCTTGAGATACATTTGATTGGGGAAATCGAACTTCTCTAGAATTGAAGTTCCTTTTATTTGTCGCAATAATGAGAGTATTTGATTTCTTTCTAGCCAAAACTTTGCCAATTCTAGAAATTCGTTGGCTTACTCAAAAGTCAAAATTATTCTCATAACTAAATACGTTATCTCAATCAACACTATCACACGTTGTTCCAAGAAAATTATAATTGAAGTGAGCATTTCGTATGTCGAATCAGGATGAGTATTGTTACGCGGAAAAAGCTTTGAGATTGTAGTAAGATGTCGTTGAGTTGAAAGAAGTTTATATTTCTTGACTAAAAAATCGCATTAGTTTACAATGACAGAATCACAGATTACGGCAATTCAACACAAACTTGGATATCACAAATTTCGTTCAATGTGATGTACGGAAAGCTCAATTTAAACATCGGCCGCATTCGAGAAAACAACATTCAATTCATTTCTCAATCATCTCCTAGATACGAATTTTCGATCAATTCATGAAAGTAGGAAATTTCTCGACTGGAGATTCAATTAGCTTAAAAAAAATAGAACTTTTCCATTTTTGTGGTGAATACATGTGACTCGACACCAAGGACTGTTTTATTTAATTCAAGTAAATGTACCTCAGGAAGAAATAATTGATATTCACCGTAAGATCTCATTTATTTAAAATTGGTTCACGTGAGTAACACCTGCTCCAAGAAAGAAACATCTCAATAAAAATAATTTTTTCTATCAGTGCATCAATAAAACTGCCACGTGTATCAACCATCATCCGACGCTCTTTTAAAATGATACTTCTCAACATATTCAAGTCCAATATTTTCCGATTATTTCCACTCATTTGCGATGCCAATGAGAACGAAATAAAAAATCATTATGCATATGAATAATGGATCCACCTCCTCTCATTCTACGCCTCCCTTTTATTTTTCTTTTCATCAGTTACAGTATTATGAAGAAGCATAAAGGGCTTTGTGCATTTCCCCATTGCACATTTTATAACCATACATTACACACTGGTTTACCGAATTTTAACTCCGCGTTAAGAACTCATTTCACGCACATGAAGACATGTACACGTGATCCAGACCGCTACCGTTCCAGGGGCTCTCTTGTGCGGTTACACGCGAGATTCGTCTTTTCTTCGACTCCTACAATATCATTATGCACGATGGTTCATTATGAGGGGTCATTGATACTGTTCGATTCAATTCATTCGAGTTAGATTTATTCATTATGTCGTGATCATTCTTTTCAAGAAAATCGGAAAGCATATAATCAAGAATAATTATTTTCTTTTGTATGAAGTATAAAATACAAAACGACGGGTAATTTATTTTGCAGAATGAATTGATATCGCGGTTTTACTTGTTAACAAGTCTCAATCGTATGATTTCTCTTACTTTTAGAGCCCTAGCTAACATTCTGGGTTATAGAACTCGATTTTTGTTAAAAAAGAGAACATGTGTCGCAATTCTGAACCAAATATACGAGATTTAAGTTGAAATTATTAAAAATTTTCTTTACAATTGATGAAAACAAGAACCTCGTTTTCATCTATTGTTGTAATTTTTTGTTATTAAGCTGTTATCACATGCTGCAAGTTGGATTGTTAAAAAAAATGCACTGAAACGTCTCATACACTCTCTAATTAACTTTTCAAGGAATTTTTCAAGGAATGGATCAAGAAATTTCAAGGAATTTCTTGATCCAAAATTCAGAATTTCATGAACAAAATCAATGAGAAATGTAAACTGCAGTTGAATTATTTCATAAAAATCGATAGAAATCAGAAAATTTCATTGATTGCCTGTTCATTTTCACAAGATTGCCTGAAAGTTCATTTCCACTGTCATTTCCGAGATCTTTTCACTGAAAAATAACGTATTCCATTAATTTTCTTTTCGAACAATCTGAAAATCAATGAAATACTTGGTTTTTCGGTTCAATAATTCCTTGAAAATTCGGAAAAATCAGCAAAATTCAGGGAAAAGTTGAAAATTCATGTCATGTTATGTTATTTTCCCCTAAATCGGATTCACTGTCATTCTCATGAGATTGCATAATGAATCAAATAATTGGGTTCCTCCACATCTCCCAATTTGACTTTTGAATGCAGTTAATGTGTGTTACCGTTGTCACGAAGAATTCCAATCCAGCTGAAAATAAATACAGCAGGAAGCAAACGACGAAAATGGTGTTGAACACGGCATTTCAGAGGAACAAACGCAGACATCACGCAATGACTCCGAAAACGGGGCATTGACGATGGTCAGTAACGGGCCAAGTGGAATTTCGTGCACAATGTTTCATGTTTTTTAACGAATTGGCTAATGAAACGAAGAGGAGGGATCAGGATTGAGGTAGTGCATTGCAGTGACGATCAGAATGGAACGGAGTGTGTCAACGAGTAATGACTGCTCCTGAGGACGTTTATTAACCCGAATTATTCTCAATTGGATCATTTGTTAATCAATTTTAACGATTCTTGAAGTAACACGTCTCGTCGGCCAAGGAAATTACCCTGGTATACTCATTTTCGTTGAAC